CCCAATCGGAAATGTATGACTTACGCCGATGCTTACAAAGGGCGCAGTACTGCGACTATACTGGCTTCCTAACAGTTGGCTGGCCCTTACGGGTAAAGTACTGGCCAAAATGTTATCCAGTACTACACTAGTACTGGAAAACTAGTACTGGCAGTCAAAGTTGATTCAATACTGGCATACTACGGGCGGCGAATGAATTGCGAGCGTTGACATGCCAGTATTAGTCGTGGTTGTGCCAAGCGTTGGCGGTATACTGGCGTACTACAGACCAGTTATAAATGCGATCTTTGGCCAGCCAGTATTAGTCGTCGGTGTGCCAAGCGTTGGCGGTATACTGGCATATAACGGGCAACGAATGAATTACGAGCGTGGGCTAGCCAGGTTAGTCGAAGTTGTGCCAATCGTTGGCGGTATACTGGCGTACTACAGGAAAGTTGTAAATGCGAGCTTTGGCCAGCCAGTATTAGTCGTCGGTGTGCCAAGCGTTGGCGGTATACTGGCATATAACTAGCAGCGAATGAATCGCGAGCGTGGGCTAGCCAGGTTAGTCGAAGTTGTGCCAATCGTTGGCGGTATACTGGCGTACTACAGGCCAGTTGTAATTGCGAGCGTGGGCCAGCCAGTGTTTGTCGAAGTTGTGTCACGCGGAAGTAATGCAAAAGCAGTCACCACGGCGCTGTCGATTCAAACAGGAAAGAAAAAGTCGTAGTTGTGTCAAGCGTCCAGTGCGTTCTTATTTTAAACAATACGATTATATTTTTGCATCTGTGTATAAATATTTATAATAAGTGGTAACATTGTGGTTTGTTTATCAGTTTAATAGCTGGGAAACCCCAATATCCGTCGTAGCAACAACAACCCGTGGCCCCGCGACCTTTTAACAATGCATCGCCTGCACTATTGTTGGTTAATCGTTTAACTATAACTCCATTGACTAGAGGACCGCCGTCCGCCGACTGATTGTTAACTTTATCTTTGGCGTAGACCGTAGTCGTGTGTTTTGATCGTGTTGTGTATTCACTTGTGTTCGAAAATTTGTTCAGATTTATAATTGTATCTAACTATTGAACGCCTGAACCCTAAAGCAGCAGATTTTTCGGTAAGTACCTACTGTTTTTATAATTTTTGGTAGGGATGTAAATTTGTATAATACAAAATAATGTATTAGGTACTTGGTGTTCTACGTTTCAAACTAAAAATTTTGTATTTCGTCGCATCGGATGTATCGTATTGCGACGGAACAGTATGACCAAAATATCTAAGCCCCCAATTTACGCTTATGCTTAGGAGTCGTAGGACACGCCGTTATATCATAATATTATAATTATTACATACTATAACATTAGATGTATTAGTATTATACGTCATAATACAATCATTATATTAGGTGTTATTTATTATTGTGATTAAGGCGGTGAACGGTTGTGAATACCTAGGTAGCTTGTAGGAAAGTGTATTTTTGTAGCTTATTGTATAACCGTTTTCTTGACACAAAGTTTGAATTAGGAGTACCAATTATTAGGAGTACCTTTCATTATTATTATTAAATAATTATAATATAGGTAGAGATAACCCACTGTTGTGTTGGAAATCGGTGCACCTTTAGAAATCATTAGAAATGTTTAAAAATATGTGCTCAAAATATGATTTGTCATTATTTATTAATTATTTTTTTACTTTAGGTTGTAATCATATTAATTTTATTTAATAACATTCACATTATTATTTACTGTGGTCAAAATACTTATAGCTTTTGTTCTGTATAATTATTCTTAACACTATTACCATTGATTATACATACTATGTATAATAAATGCTATTACTAATTTGGCTTACATATCAATTAATTTTATTTGATTAGCTGTGAGCATTATTTTTCTATGACACCAGTAATTTACACCAGTCTTCAAATTCCATATTAAATATTCTTACTTAAATTCTCGCTTAAATTATACCTGCCTAAAAATAATTTAGAGAAAATTTTATAAAATTGAAGCCTGTTGGAAACAGTAAGAGATGTAGGGTACATTTTTAATAATATTCGAAGGTGTAGATTTTCCAAACGCGGTTAGTCATTTACCATTTTATATTTTATTCTTTATATTATTATCACAATACCTACCTATATCACATACTAAATTATAATTATTGTTTATTTGGTACTTGTTTATTATAATGATATATACCTCCTAATGGATTTGTCGCCCCACCACTTTTTTGTAGGACAAAAGTTAAGTTAAATCTTCTTTTTTTCTTAGTGTTGGTAATGACTTGCAATATAATGTTTTTAAATAATTACAATTAATCAAGTTACTTACAAAAACCTAAGATAACTACTAGTCTCATTTAATGAATTTAAATTTAAACATTATTTGAGAATCAGATAGTAAGAAGCATGCACAAACCATTGAGATCTTAAATTTGCAAAATAGATATTTCTTAAAGCATTGACATAATTACAATTTTAATATGTGAGAATAATGATAAAAATCGCTTAATTAAATTTCAATCTCAAATTTACAATTAATTATGCTCAATATTTATTGTTTTAATTAATTTTCAACATTACCTACAACAGTAAATTTTCTTCTGAGATACCTATTAATGTTTTTTAAAATGCTAACAAAGATAAACAACATTTTGGGCAACTTTGATACCTACATTTCTTAATGTGGTAAAATATTTACTCATTTTGTATAAATAAAAAAAAATTATTATAATACTCCGGTAGGTGATAAAATAAAATATTATATATATATCTATATATTAAGTATCTATAAAATCAAACTCCATTTAAAATTCAGTATTAAAATTGCCAATTTTATTATTTAGTGTAGATACTTAAATCAAAAATGTGTTGTGCATACGATCGACTTAAAAAACATAGACAGCTAAAAAAATTGGCTCAACAATCAAATGATGAACCAGAGGTTGAACCCCGGGTTGAACAAAATGAATTAAATTCAAACTTATCTATGGATATTGATGTGTCTATGGGAGTTGACATAATTTGCAATATGATAAATGACCCACAGTCTTCCAATTCCAGTAATCATGATTTTGATGGTCATTTGGATTACTTATCAAATTCATCTTTCGACTACTCAAGTACATCATCTAATTTCAGATCAATTTCATCTTTAAACTTCTCAAATAGATCACCTAATTGTAGCTCCTTAGATCATAACCCAAATGTAACTTCTACAGTACCTACTTTCTGTGAAAAACTACAAAACTGGGCTGTAAGACATAGAAGTAATATGACTATTGAGTTGATTGAAGATTTGCTCAAGATTTTACGGACTGAAAATTGTTATAATAACTTACCAAAATCTGCAGCTGGGTTACTTAAAAGTAAATCATATATTGATATTAAAATAATGAAAAGCTTGAAGAACACAAATGGGTCTTATGCATATTTTGGTGTAGGAGAAGGATTGAAAACAATTGTTACTGACACATATACTGAGAACAGTATTCGGTTACTGTTTAATATTGATGGCTTACCATTATATAATAACTCAAATCAACAATTTTGGCCTATCTTAGGACTTATACTTCATGATCAGTATGAATTAAAACCATTTATTATTGCTGTATACAGTGGTGATTCTAAACCGCAAAATGTAAATGACTTTTTAATGGAATTTATAGAAGAAATAAAAACATTAGTTCTCAATGGATTAATGATTAATCAAAAAAAGTTTGAAATAGAAATCGTTGGATTTTCTTGTGACACACCAGCAAGATCATTTTTAAAACAGTGTAAGGGCCATGGAGGGTTTTATGCATGTGAGCGGTGTGAAACTAGAGGAAAAACAAATAACAAAAAAAGAGTATATCCTAGCATGAATTCTAGACTTCGCACCAAAAGGTCGTTTACAAGACAGAGTCAAAAAGAGCATCATTTGGAATTCAGATCACTATTGTTAGACATTCCAGACTTTGATCCTATCAAATCTGTCTTCTTAGATTCGATGCATTTATTGTACTTGGGTATAATGAAATGGTTATTGCAGCAATGGCTTGGAACTACAAAAAAGGTTAATCGTAGGTGCAGGCTTTCTCGGTGCAATATACAACGTTTAAATTCAAATTTAAAGGTAATCACAAGGTTTGTACCAAAAGAATTCCAGAGAAAAAAGTATGATTTAAATGAATGGAAACACTGGAAAGCTACACAGTTTCGTTTTTTCTTACTCTACTGTGGGTCACTGGTTCTGTATGACATTCTACCAAAAAAAATGTACCAACATTTTTTACTCTTAGTAGTTGCATGTCGAATTCTTAATGACCCTAAATTATGTATTAGCCATGCCAATTATGCAAGAGAGTTGTTAAGAAAATTTTTTGAGCTTCTCCCGTCGTTTTATGGTTCAGACTCTCAAATCATGAATAGTCATAATTTAATTCATTTGGCAGATGACGTAGAACACGCCGAGACAAATCAATCAGCAATTTCGGCATTTACCTTTGAAAACTATTTGGGTAAAATTAAAAGGCTTATTAAAGGAAGAAATAATTCTCTTGCCCAATTGGTTCGAAGAGTATCTGAACAAAAAGCATGCATGGAAACCGTAAAAAAAAATGCTATAAATAAAAAACAGTCCCTCATTATTAATCATGAACATGAAAATGAAATCAGTTTAAAGAGTGTAACTTTACGTGGAGTTGAATTTAGTAAATCGAGACCAAATAATATTGTCAAATTAGATTCTGGTGAAATCCTATCTATTTCAAATATCAGAGAAGGGGAACAGAATATTAATTTTTATGGTTTTACATTCAAAACTGTGAGCAATGTTTTCAAGTTCCCCTGTGAATCATCAAAAATCGGAATTGAAAAGCTAGGACAATTGTCTAGAAGGGAGAGGATTTTCTCTTTGGATAATATTGACAAAAAGTGTGTTTTATTTGAAAATGAAAGTGAAACATTCACAGTCACACTTCTCCATGATTTATAATTATTTTATTTTTAAAGAAAAATATTGTTTTCTAATAGTTATCATAAGACAAAAACATAATATATGTCATTCACTTTTAATGAATTAGTAATAAGGAAAAAATCTTTTTGTAACAATATGTGTATATGTGTAAAGAAATGTACCTAATATAAGTGTAGTATAACTGAAAATAATATATTCTCATCTTTGTTATAGAGTACTATGGACTATTATAAAAATGATGTCACCCATTGTATCATTAAATTCAATGAAAAAAATAAGCAGGGAAAAGACACCATAGATCTAGTACCTATTTCATGGAGTCATAATAAAAATGGACAAATGTATTCTAAATATCCAAATCAAAACGAATATCATAAAATAGACGAGTTATGCAAACAGTCCACGGCATGTGACCCATCATGGAATGATTTCAAGGTTACTATAGTTAAGAAAGCTTGTAAGTAATTAATTTAAGATTTAAATATGTATATTTTCTAATTTAATTATTGTGAGTTTAAAAACATAAAGTTAATTAAAAATGTATGTTTTAGATAGTTATAGTCAAGGACTCAGGAGAATGAAAAAAGCATTTTCTGACTCTGTAGTTCAGAGTAGTGTTGAAGAACTTGCTAACAGCTCGGAAGAAGAGGAAGGTCCTAAACAGTTAAACGAAAAAGATTTAAAAGCATGCTTAAATGATGTTTCTTGTATTAGTGGAAGTAAAATAAATTTTAGGCCTGGGAGTGTCAAAGACGGTACATAATTCATTTTAATTAATATAAGTTTAAAAAAATAATTTTAAATATATTAATATATATAATAATAATAATAAAATACATAATAATCTTTAAAACAGATTACAACGATGGTTCTCAGTCAGAAGTATCACAAGAACACTCCAATTCTGAATGTAATTTATCATCATCTTCATCGTCATCAAATGAAAAGAGATCCATCAAAAAACTTAAAAGTAAATTACAGTGTTCTACAAAACTGATATTTTAAAACTACAAATTAAATTTATTTGTTTTTGTATCAAAATTTATATTACTTACAATTGGGCGTTATTTAAAAAAAAACGTAGTACAATTAGGTTTATAAATAATTGTAACACATTATGGGTTTCAGAGAAACACCAAACTAGCTTTATTATACCACCTGAGAAAGTAGCGATAACTAACATCCAAAGTAAAAGCAATATTAGACAGCCAGAAAAAGTCCAGCCAACAAGCAGTAACATAATAGGTAGGTAATAAAAACAAAACAAAAAAAAAGCCAGTAGTATTTTAATTATAATTTTATGTTATAGGCAAAAAAATACATATTCAAGGAAATCATTGTCCGACATGTGGTGCAGCAGGTAATTTTATCAAAATTTAAATATGATTATGAAATAAAATGTATTTGTTCAAAAATTTAAATATGTGTATAAAGATAATGAGTCATTTAGTTACATAAAATCAAATCATAAAAATAATGAATACTAAAATGACTAGCTCTAACTTTGAATCATTATCAAGTAACCAAAAGGAAATAAAAATAAAAAATATTTTTTTTTTTTCTTATAATATATTAGGTATATTCTCTAATCCAAAAATATGCATTGATTTTTCTAGAGTTAAAAAATGATTTATTACAGTCTATACATTAATAAGATAGGTGATACATTAAAATAATTTCATACAGGTCAATACCTTGATATTCTTATTAAATTGTTTGACAAAATATCATAAAAAAAAATGATTTGTATACTACTGATCACTACCAAGTTTTAATAAATGTACGTTATTCCAACTATTTCAGCTACAGAATCTTCAGTAATACAATCAAATATAGAATCGGCCAAGAGAAGCATCCTATACTCAATAAGAGAAGAAGCTAAACTTACTAGGACGTTAATTTCCACAAATAGTAATAATGATTTCATAGGAAAAATTATGCAAGATGATAATATAATTGGCCTTCCCAAATTGAATTTGGAATCATTCCAAGTTTTTGATGAACAGTTGAAAACTGACGTAGAGTTGATAAAAAAACTAGTAAGATTTATTTCAAATTAGATTAGATTGTTCAGTTTATGTCATTTAATTTCTATTAAATATTTATATTTTTATTTATTTTTTTAGAAATGTTTCATGGCGATTAACATCAAAGGTTCGGTTAAATTATCCGACAATTTGACGGTTGTTATCCCGCAAATCATGGCAAAAAGTGTTCAAGTGCATTCGGAAGAGAAACTAATGGGATAAGGAAGTTAAATTTCTCTACAACGGAAACCTACAAACACTTGCTAGGTATAAGATCACATTAATTATAAACAAAATATAAAATCTATTATTATTTTTAAGTATAATATGTATATTTTTTTTTAGAATCACTTACAACAAAGTTTGAGGATGTTAAAAGTAAGGAAATTGCCAGCCAAATGAGTCGCTGGTTTTCAGGAGCTAAGGATAGAGAAGGCGGGAAAAAAGAAAGATTGTTAAAAAAAATTAAAATAAGTGAAATCAAATAAATTTAATGTAAATGTTTTTATTTGTTGTAAGGGACAAAACAAAATAATATTATATAATAAATTATGATCTATAATTGAATCATATACTTTGTTTTTAATTGTTTGTAAAGCAGTAGTAATAGTTATAATGAGTTAATAATTTCTAGTGTATTTTTATTACATAAAGAGGTATAATTGATATACCAAATATTAGGTTATCTATTTGTTAGGTTTTACTGGTATACAAGTACAGAACGGTGTCATCATCCCAGATGGCAGACATATACCAGCATTGCGCCAGTAATGTAAATTAGTACTGTGCCAGCAGTACTACCAGTACTATAATAGTACTAAAACCAAATACTCCAGTACTAAAAACAAGTACTGGTGCATTACTGGTATACCATTACAGGACGGTGTTATCATCCCAGACATATACCAGCATTGCGCCAGTAATATAAATTAGTACTGTACCAGTAGTATTGCCAGTACTATAGCAGTACTAAAAGAAAGTACCGACCATAAGTACTGACCCATTACTGATATACCAGTACTGAACGGTGTTATCATCCCAGACATTTACCAGCACTGGGCCAACACTGACTACCAGTAACGTGTCAGTATAAGTCGGTAGTGACGCAGTGTTGCGCCCGTTGTTGATTTCCGATTGGGATGGGCCTTGAGGGCTATGTATACAATATTTTTTTATAGGTTACATATACAAAAATAATTAATGATGGTGATTTTTTTATTTTTATTTTAATATATTTTATTTCATTTCAATATTAGATTATAATGCAATTATTTAAAAATTTAAAATAGATGCGGGGCGCCGTCGCGGACCCCTGATCCAAGGATTAGCGGCCCTTTACACGGGTATTGCCCCGGCTGCCCCTGCAGTAGTTATTGCGTCACTGGGTATAACTTACTATATTTTAACATTATTAAAAAATAAAAATCACCGACCCTTGGAAAAATAATTCCTAGACTACAATATTAGTCACGACCACATGACATTGATTGGTCAAATATTTTTTAAAAGCTAATTTGTAATTACCACATTATTAATATTTATTATTATTTTTTTTTTTTTGTATGATTTTTTTATATTTTGGGGGGTGTGGGGGCATCGCCCCGATGGGTTACTTTTCATGTAATATCAGTAAGACTACAGCCCCCTCCCAACACTTTAGCCCTAGTTGTTCCACTGTATATACATGTGTAATATAGTGCATACTTATCTGGTACTTCAAATGATATCTTCCGAGATACATTAGCTTCAAAAGCAGATGACTCAATTACTTCATCTTCATGTAAGACATGCTCAAAATATTGGAATGGGTGGGCAGCTGAGCTGTAAAACGATGAATGAATTATGAATATAGTCATATAGATAATAAAGATAACTTAAATGTAGAACATAATTATGTAGTATAAATAATTAGTTTATTACCAATCTGATGTAGAAATAGATGATGAAGTACCTGGAAGGGAATAGTCGGCTCCTAAAGTACATGGGTCAACGATGTTTCTAAAAAAAAAATGCTCTAGAATAATATTTTATAATTTTAAAAAATAGGCATGATATTACCTAATTGGTTCAATATTAGATTGGTCATTCACTATTTCTTCATTAGTTATTTTTTTTGAATATTTTAAAACGATGTTTCATTACACTTTTTATGGATCTTCTTTTAGAACCATACTGTGGCGTATGGATTTCATTTTTCGGTGGGTCAGTAATGTTTGCGTTTGAACTTTGTGCATAATTTATCAAAGTTGCATTATATCGATATTTTCCAGTCAACTTAAAAATACTTTTGTATACATTTTCCGATGCAAAGTATTCGACTTGCATAATTGGTTTTTTATCATTAGGTAATACATTTGTGCCTGTCGCTTGCCACTCGATGCCATCTGACATTAATTTTGTATTATTATATTCTGTACAAATATACCACTTACCTGGCTGTGGCTCAAGTTTTGAACATTCAACAGTGTTTGATACTTTGTTCGGATTTTTAAGCATTTGGATTGCTGCTCGTAAATTAATTTTTAACCGATTGGTCAATACATATAAATTATGTGGTTGATTATTTGTTTTAAACATATTTGTAACTTTGTAAGTATATAAATATTTAAACAATAAAAATTGTAGATCAAAGTTAATAATATATCCACTGTATTTGCACATTACAATGTCACATATGACTTATATCTACTTAATCGCGCGTCACGTATCAACTAAATACACTAATGAAACTAGAACAAGACGTTCGACGGGCGTGTCCTGATATTCATAAAAGAACTGAATCAAAGTCATAACATTTATTGTAATTATACAATAATAATCTATGTATTACATAGATAGTGTGTTGTACGATGGTGCAACCGTGGGATCTGCTGAATAAGATTTTTTGTATGTGACACGGAGCATTGTCGCGATAACACACGAACCCGAATAAAGTCAGTCAGTCGTAGTATTACCAGTGAGTAGCTATACACTGGTCCAGTGTTAGGTGGTCAACAATCTGTAGCTATAATTATAATATTTAAATACCAATTTTATAACAAACACAGTAATTATATCAGAGCTGCTGTGGATACTTGTAATTTTTGTGCAAAGAACTGCCTCTTGTGAAATATACGAACATAGAGTTACTTATTATTTACATTTATATTTTTTTACACCTATCATATACTTGTTGCAATACAATATAGTCAAATACCTATAGTATAACGTCAAACTACTAAACAAAGTAAGTACCAATATTATAATTCATATTGATTTTTTTTTTCTATTATTAATAATTTTATAATTGTATTAAATGTTCTTCATAGTATTACAATGAAAATGGATGTCTGGAACGTAATTTGTCGTACCATGCTATTGCAGTTTCTGCTAATCAATCATAGTATATCCAGTGAAAATCAAGACAATGCATTTTTCAACCTCACTCTAACCACCAATAGTCCGGGATTACAGTACGAGATATTAGGGGAAGGTAAATTGTGTAAAAGTAGTTGGACCATTAATACATTCATAGATTTAAAATATTTAATAAATAGCCATAGTGACATAAGGGATATGTTAAATACAATTAACACATATGCAATTAAGGACAGTTTCCAAATAACTGTGAATAACTTAGAGAAGCATTTAAAAAAAATAAATTTAGATATACAGGTAATTAGACAAATGGCTAGGTATAGAAAAAAGGTTAAGCGATCATTTGAGTCTGGAGGTTCGGCACTACAGTGGATGTTCGGTATTGCCGATGCTGACGATGTACGGAGGTATGATAGTTCGATTAACAAATTAGAGAATGATCAAACAGATATGATCCACATAGTTCAGGACCAAGTGTCTATTTTAAGGAGCACAATAACAAATTTCAATGAAACCATAACAACATTTAATGACAATAAATTATTATTTGACAAAAATATCAAAAAAATTGTAACCTCTATTAACAACATAAATATTGAATTAGTAGACAAAAAAAATCAAATTATTGTTCTAAAATTAATATCCCTAATTGAAAATAATATATTTGAATTAGATATATTTGTAACGAGGTTACAAAGAATGATATCAAACGTTCAAACAAATAAATTAGATGTTTTTATAATTACACCAGATCAGTTGTTGTCAGAAATAAAACAAATAGAAAATATTCTACCTGAAAATTTACAAATCCCTATCAAATTTAATGAAACTAATATACAAGAAATATACAAAATAATACATATAGACCTTCACCCAATGAACGATAGGATAATATTTTCTATAAAAATTCCTTTATGTATCAGTGAAATTTTTAAATTTTATTATATTATACCAATATATGTTCCATTTAATGAGCACGGACAATTTATACACATTGCTGAAAATCCAACGTATTTATTAACAGATGATGTGGTGACAAAATATTTTATTTGGTCAAATATCAATAACTGTTTAATAGTTGCCGACATTTTTGTTTGCGGTTTCAATGAAATGTTACACAATAGTGATACTGATCCTACTTGTGTAACAGAAATATTAAAAAATGCTTTAACTAAACCTACGCAATGTGATACTTATATCACGGAATTTAAAAAAGAATTATGGTACCCATCGTTTTTCAAAAATAATTGGTACTTTGTGTGTGAAAAGCCCACAACAATTACAATAATTTGTAATAATCGATATTTTATTCGTAAAATTACATTGAAAAGTTCTGGAAAATTATTTTTGAAAGGTGGGTGTCAAGCTCATACTACTAAAGGCGTATTAATAACAGAGCAAACAGTAGAATCGTCTTTTGCAACACTACCTTTAGATTTAAGTATTTTAAATGATTCATGTTGCAATATTACACTTAACCAACGTTATCCAAAACCCATTCATTTAGATGAAATAAAAAATTTAAAATTCGACAAAGAAGCTTTCATAAAAATTATTTCAAAGTTAAATACACAAGATGAATTACTAAATTCAATATTATTAAATAAGACATATGAATTTGTATATACAAACAAATATTTAATCATTACAATAGTTATTATAATATTATACGCGAGTATAAAATTCTGTATTAAAAAAAAAAAAAAAAAAATTCAGCTTTGTAAAATATAAATTTAGGTTATTGTCCTGTGCCCATTGCTCCACCAAAACAATAAACTTTACTTTGTAATTTATAATTATATTTTATACATGTCAATTTAAATCTCATACTTATACATTTTTTCATACTTATAGTTGTTGTTATACTTTATTTTTTAAGAATACATATTTTATTTTATCTACGCATTTGTTAAATATAAGTATTAGGAATTTAAGTTATGATTTATGTGTATTTAATATATTAATTTATAGTTATTTGTACAGTTACTAATTATATAATAAATTATTACAATATGAAATTTCGTTCGTAAATCGTAATAATTAAATATTTGTAATTTGTGTACAATACTTACAATAAATGTTATAACATTTGAATTAATTTTGTTTTTTTATTTTACATAATTATTCTGACTCCATAGTTCATATTTTAATTATTGTAATAATAATGTATTCATTAAAACGATTATAATATAATTATTATATGACATTTAATTTGTAATAATTGTCACATAATAATTGTTACAATGGAATTTAATTTAGATTTTTTTCTTATATTATTATTAATTATTCCGATATCGTAATAATTAGTTTTTTTTATCATACCCAAATAGTTCGATAATTCAAGTAATACGGCTTATTGAATCGGTTTACAGCAAAACTACCTATTATAAAAATTGTAGAGAAGAATTTTTTTAACAATCGTAAGAAGCCCGTTTTTCGATATTTTTATTAATTAGTTGAATAATTAAAGGATAAAAAGTTAAAAACCGTGTTAATTTACCATGTGATATTGGACGATTAGAATACGATATCAAAAAACCGATTTCTTACGATTGTTAAAAAAATTCTCCTCTACAATTTTTATAATAGGTAGTTTTGTTGTAAGCCGCTTCAATACGCCGTATTACTTGAAGAACAAAAGCATAGTTTTTATTAGTATAAAATTCGGATACGAATAGAAAATATAAAACCGAACAAAATTGAATAATGTTTGTCACTAAATAGGTATTATATAATAATCGTTTTCTTCTCTGGGTATTTATAAATTATGTACAGGCGCACGGCTGCGATAGAAAACCTGTTTTGACTTCGGTGCGGCACTGCCGTTACGCGCGCGGGGTGGTGGTATGAACACCTAGTATCGAGCGCTGCCGCTGACTGTAACGGGCGCAGCACATGACGGGCGTAATTAAACGTTTTTTTACCGAAAAACATGGTTTCGTGTTACTTCCAGGAATACGGCTTATTGAACCGTTTTACAGTATAAATACCTATTACAAAAATTGTAGAGGAGAGTTTTTTCTAGAAACGTAAGAAGCCCGATTTTTGATATCTTGTTCCAATCGTCCAATATCGCATGGTAAATAAACACGTTTTTTTAAACTTTTTATCAATTAATTATTTAACTAATTAATAAAAATATCGAAAATCGGACTTCTTACGTTTCTAGAAAAAATTCTCCTCTACAATTTTTGTAATAAGTATTTATACCGTAAAATTGAAGGAATTCCTTCAATGAAAGGTATTCCTGGAAGTACGAAACCATGTTTTTATGCCATATTTTGTCTACTGTGACATCCTCTTAAAGCCAAAGAAAATATTAAACGCAAGTATGAAGCATTAAAACACGGAAAAGCTGATATTCATTCAATAGTATCAGAAACGTTTATTCCGATTATAGAACCATTGAACAAGATAACACATTTAAATCCTGAGACATTTCAAACCCCACCCACGGAAATTGAAAAACGCTCTCAAGATTCTCAACATTTTGAAATAAACGACACACACGAATCGCTAGCTTTTAAAATAAACGACTGGTTTAAGTCTTACGATATAGACAAAACGTATGGGCCTAAAATACGACAGGACGGAAGTGTACATTTGGGTAAAAAAGAAATTAATCTTGTCGACAAAAAGTTGATTATTGAAGATACTTCCTACCCGCTAACACAAGGACTTGGTAATTTAGTATTTTCGAAATCTCCAAAATTCTACACCAAACACGATTTAGAAGCATACAAATCTATATTAATTCAAACATCAGCGCACCTAAAAGCAGGTGGGGGAGAAATTAAAAAAGGTGGAAATAAATTCATTGATATAATCAAACCATTATTCCCACCTTCAGGTAGCGGGTTATCTATGAAATTACAAAAACATAATTTAGTGTACTGGAATGATCCTAATGAGTTAGTCGATAGATTGCGGCTACTATTAGCGTCAAAAGCGGCTGGTAATACAGGGCTTTCCAACGAAATACTATCAATTTACGAAGAATTGTATGAAGCGGGGATAATAAAACGTATTCCAAATGTCTAAACGCGAAATTGCAAACAAACTACACAAACCTGCTAGAAAAAATTATACAAGACGTAGAGTTAATGTTTATGGCAAAAACGATCTATGGCAGGCCGACTTGGTCGAAATGATACCATATTTAAAACAAAACAAGGGTTACAAGTATATTTTGTGTGTCATAGACTGTTTTACAAAGTTTGCTTGGGCCATAGAATTAAAATCTAAAACTGCTAAAGAAGTTTCAAATGTAATGTCAAAAATACTACTCAAACGCTCACCAAAACTTTTACAAGTCGACAATGGAAAAGAATTTTACAATACAGCATTCGACGCGTTGATGAAGAAATATAATATACACAAATATTCTACGTATAGTTCAACGAAAGCGTGCATCGTGGAACGTCTGAACAGAACAATTAAAGGAAAAATGTATAGAGAGTTTACGGCACGTGGTTCGCACGAATGGATATCAATTTTACCTGCATTGATTAACGAGTACAACAACTCAAAACATAGGACAATAGGTATGACACCTATACAAGCTGATGCAAATCCGGAGGCTGTCGTTATTAAACAACGAAAAATTATTAATAGACCAATCAAATTTAACGTAGGTGACGACGTGCGAATAATCACATATAAAAGTGTATTTGCAAAAGGTTATTTACCTAGCTGGTCTACCGAAATATTTAAAATTGTTAAAATAAACTATACGTCACCTACTACTTATCAGTTGCAAGATTATACGGGAAAACCGATTGCAGGCTGTTTTTACTCTGAAGAAATTCAAAAAACCAATCACCCAAACGATTATTTAGTTGAAAAAATTATCCGTAGGAAGGGGAAGCAAATGTTTGTAAAATGGTTAGGGTTTGATAATACACACAATAGTTGGATAAATATGTGTGACGTTAAAAAATAGCGTCAGTTGAGCTACAGACATGAACGTGTTCGGTAGTTCTCAGTCTAGTGAAACTAATAAATTTTTAGTAAATCTCGAACAAATTGTTAAATCGTATTCGAATAAACTAGATAAATTTGAAAATTCAGTTAAAGAACAAAGAGAACAAATTGTTACATTTCAATCACTACAAATAGATTACATGAAAAGAATTGACGCATCCTTACAACATATTAAAGAAAATACAGACAAGTTGAAAAATAATCCTAATCCCCATAAACCATAATGGCTCCAGCCATCTTGGACATGCAATGCGTACTTAGCGTCAAAAATAAATATATGATTAAAGAAATGTCTATAGTTAACACAGAAACATGGGCAACTCAGCATTGGATTTTTAAACATTCAAACTCGATGCAGGATAACAAAAGTCGTAAAACTAATAAATGGTTTGAACGTAATTATCATCAACTGGCTATAGAATACGGTGATATCGAGTACGAAGAAGTAGGTAAAATATTGAATTCATTAAAATTCAGATTCATATACGTCAAAGGTGAACAGAAAAAACAAGTTCTTATGGAGTATATACCACACGTAGCACTCATCAACATCGAAAACTTAGACTGCCCTCGTTTGGATCAAATATGCGATGACGAAACTCTACCTTGTTGTATTTTTCATATGGAATTTAATCCTAAACAGTGTACATTTTATAAAGTTTTTTCTATAAGAAAATGGTTTATAAATAATTCTTAAAAATATAACAATAAACATAATAATATTTTAACATTGGTTTTTTTTTTATTTTACTTAGGTAACCTAACATTTTCAATATATATATACATGCTATTTTACAATATAACAAAATATATACATGGTAATTTACAATATAACAAAATATATACATGGTAATTTACAATATAACAAAATATATACATGGTAATTTACAATATAACAAAATATATACATGGTAATTTACAATATAACAAAATATATACATGGTAATTTACAATATAACAAAATATATACATGGTAATTTACAATATAACAAAATATAAACATGGTAATTTACAATATAACAAAATATATACATGGTAATTTACAATATAACAAAATATATACATGGTAATTTACAAATAAAAAAAGGTGGGTAAGTGGATGTCGCTCTGCTGTACAGTAGTGGGTCACTGTATAATGGATGCTATTAAATTTGAATTCAATGATATAATATCATTGTATAAGAAAAACGATTCTGAGCGAAGACGGTATGTCAGTCTAGGTTTAAGATAAATTATATACAAATATATGGTATTAAAAAAAAATTAACCTATAATAAATTCCAAATTAATCATATCACATTATCACAATATCCATTAGGTACTTATAACACGTTATACATCAACATCAATAACAAACCCTGATACTATCATCGATATATAATAATACACTTTAGAAGTTTCAAGTAGGTACCCCGTACACACGAATAATATTATATAATCACAACAAAATAACTAGGTTTTTTAATATGAAATTTCGTCCAAATTTGAACATAAAATGACTATAAAAATAAACTGTGATTGTATATTTTTTAGATTTTTCGGTAAGAGAATTAACTACTTACGTAGAATCTTGTTTTAAATTTTCAATCCTTAGCTATAAAAACTGAACATTTTATAATTTATTAATTACGATGATTAATAATTTTCGAGATTTTGAAAAATTCTTAGATTTAAAAAGAAAAATTTTTACGAATTCTTAACTCAAAATAATTTGCTAATTTTCGTGATTTTTCCATATTTTGTCAATTTTTGAACTTTAAATGCTTATAAAAAAAACTGTGACTAACGATTTTTAATATTTTTCATCTGCTTTTGAAACAATATACTAGGAGCCTTCTATTAAATTTTCAAGCTTTCGCAACCAACAAATAAAATTTTATTGATATTTCTAGAAAAAAAACTAAAAAAAAACGAAAAATGAAAATGTCCCTAAACTGTTCAAAATAAATCAAAATATTTTGAAAATGTTATCGTGTATAGAAGATGCAAATATAAACAACCAGTGAAAATTTCATGTATCTATGGTCATTTGTTTTAAAGTTACACCAAAAACCAGAATCGATTTTTTGGAAAACCGATTTTGCGTAAAAATTCCCGTTTTTCCTTAATTTTTATGTTGTTTTTCCCGGCGCTCTTGAAAACTACTGGGAAATTTAAATTTTGACCTCCCCAATGCACCAACGATATTCACTTTCCAATCGAACAAGATACTGAAGTCGAAAATCGAAGCATTATTTCGACTACTTATCGTGTACACAGACACAAAAAAAATAAATAAAAAAATAAAAAAAAAAAACACACATCATTGTAAAATCAATACATTCATCGTTTCACTCAGAATCTAAAAAACATGACCTAGTATTCTAAATCAGCCATCATTTCAGCCAACTCTGCATCTCTATAAAATTTATAAATAATTTAAGTTTATTATTTTAAATAATAATAATTAGTTTAACTTACTCTATTGTATAATGTCCCTGAGCTAGGGTATGAATTTTGTCTTCTAGTACTACCCTCTTATCATCATAATTAAAGACCGGATTTAGCATATTATGCATATTCATATTTTTATAAGCTATTACATGCAGTAAATGGATTTTCATCAATCATAGTTAAATAAATAATGTTACAAAATAATTTTTATTTTGCATATTTTTGCATATTTTGGGTACAAGTGCATATTTTCCATAAAAATGCATGTTTTTGCATATTACGTATACATTTAAATATTTTTATTTAATTTTATAACTGTATGTACCATTATTATACACAAATTTGTTCAAAACACAAAAATTGAAAATATTTTTAAAAATATAATAGGCAGATTGTATACTGATTTTCCCGTCGTATAGTTTTATCTTATCTAACATTATCAAGTTATCGACTATCGTTTATTTATACTATAGAACACAGACTGACAGACTAACGACTGTAGTTCGAAGTGTACATTCGGCAATAGTCAACGACGTCAACGTAGTTCTAAATAAACACATATTAATTTTATATAACATTGTTTGTGTTTTTAAATTACAATGCCAAAGTTTCCAAGTTCAAAATTACCATCACTTAGAAAATGGATTGAACCGTATAATAAATCAGGTGAGGTTTTCAAAACCTTAAATAATAATTCAGTTTTTTGTCAGTATTGTAATAAAGTAGTCGTAGTAGAAAAAAAGTTTCAAATTGATCAGCATGTTAAGTCATTTTCACACGAAAAATATTCAAAAACTCTAACTTCTAAACAAACATTCGTTAACCAACAGTCAACTTCAAGTGAAAATCAATCAGTATTTTTCCAAGAACTTTGTTCAGCTATGATTTCTTCTAACATACCACTGCATAAATTACAAAATACCAATTTTAGGTCTTTTTTGGAGAAATATACTCATCTACATATACCTGATGAAAGTACCCTAAGAAAGAATTATGTAATCAAATGTTACACAGATATTTTAACAAAAATACGAGAAAACATAGGAAGTTCATTCATATATTTTTGTATCGATGAAACTACTGACCCACGAGGCAAATATGTTGCGAATTTTATTGTTGGAAAGTTAAATGTTGATTCACCATCAAAATCTTATCTTTTAGCATCTAAAGTTCTTGAAAAAACAAACAATAATACTATAGCAAAATTTGTAAATGATTGTCTTAGAATATTATGGCCAGAGGGAGGTAATGACGAAATTACCAAATTTTAACAAATTAACAAATTAACAAATTAACAAATTTTTCGGTTATTGTTGAAAGTATTAAAAAGCTTGAGACTTCAGGTTTGCTACTCATAAATGCTTTAGAAATATTTGAACAAGTTACAAATGCTATCAATAATCTTTCAGAAAATGAAAATAGTGTATTAATTAAAAAAAAATGTTCCGACATTATTAAAAAAAACAAAGGCCTGCTAATTTTAAAAGAAATTTCTAAAATACACCAAGGTGAGAATGTTGACTTAAGTTCTTCTATCAAACACTTTTCCCCGGAAATGTTGTCAAGTTTTAAATATGCACCCATAACAAGTGTTGATGTGGAACGAAGTTTTTCTGCATACAAACATATTGTCACAAATCGCCGTCATAATTTAACTGAGATCAATATGGAACATATTATTGTTACTTATTGTTTTTCCAATAACAAATAAATTATATATTTTTTATCACAATCATAAATTCATAAAATATATTGTATATAATATTGTAGTTTATTATTTTTTTTTCATCATAAATGTTTTGATTTTATAAATTTTCCATAAATAAAAAGCTGTAATAGGTAATAAAAATTTATTTTGCATGTTTTGTGATATTTAAGTGCATATTTTCGTCATAAATGTTTTGATTTTATAATTTTACCATAAATAAAAAGCTGTAATAATCAAAAATTATTTTGCATGTTTTATGATTTTTAAGTGCATATTTGCATGCATATTTTAACATTTTAAATGCATATAAATCCGGTCTTTAGTCATAATTATTGTATGTTATTTTGTTGGATTGGACTGTTGTCAATTGGTGGTTGAACGAGCGTATACACATGTTCAGATGTCTATTTTCGTGATCCGACCCATTAGCTTCAAACAAGCATCGCCGGTGACCCTCAAATATCATATGGTTCTTAACCACATGGCCCCTAATACCTTTGGCTCGAATATTTTCCTTCACATTAATTCCATCCTCGCCTAGGATTTTATACGCGTAAGATTTAGCACGGAGCGCACAAAACTCTGTCATAATACAGCCATCAGTCTCATCCGAAAACAGACCCGGAACCTTTATCCTCTCTGCAATATAGCACGGCTGGTCTCGTGGTAAGTTAGCAGTATCCATACGGCCAAGCAGATGGGTATTCTTTACAAGATCATCGTAGAAATCATCGGTTTGAATAAAATAAACCAGTGAATCTGTAATAATGATTTTAATTAATATATTATGTAAACACAAGATATTAGTTTTAATTTTACCCGTGTCAGTATACATAAGCTTGATATTATCGCCATAGTGCTTCTGCATTACATTGTAGTGATAATCATACATCAATGTCTTTGATATATCCAACACTGTTAAACCTGTAAAAATGACTATTAAATAATAATAGGGGAATAAACATGCTTGATACATACCGACATAAATAGGTTTATCGAATTTTATAATTTTTTTCTCCAATGTTATTGCACTCAAGTTTTCATTATATGATTTTGCATATTTAAATGTCGACAAGTTGATTAGTTTTTGCACTCTAGCATTATTCGAAACAAGCTCCATGTGTAACCTCCGTCTAACTTGTTCCATAGTCTTACCTATACAATTTTGAACGGGGATAGTGTCAAAATCAATTAAACACACCCACACATATAGATACATACCAAAAATACTATTATTCATAAGCTTGAAGAAGTCTTTTTCAAAATCATTCAAAGCTTTTTTCCTCATCTCTGTATTTAAATTAATAAATTCAGCAAGCCAGGATGATTGGTTGAATTGTAGGACTCTATGCACCTAGAATAAAATTAATCATGTTGAAATGTTTAACATGTATAAAATAATACATACTTTATCAACTATCAGCCCGTTTTTAATAGCTTGTTGGAGACTGCGGTAATACACGACATAATTTTTCTTTGACTCAAAAGTCGCCATAAGTTTTTTTACTTTTGAACCTGCAGGTATTCCGTTTTCGGGTAAAAATGGTAGATCATTATGTTTATCATGTAGATCTACCGGGTACGTTACGTCAACCTCATACATCCGTCCTATGGGGGAGGTATCATCCAAGTTGTTAAGTCCTTCTAGCTTGGCTTCAACCCACTTAAAACCGCCAGTAGGCATGTACTGGCTCATCGCCCATCCGTATAGGTTGTTACCTGTAAAGTTTTAAAAATAAAAAAATTTGAAAAATTATACTTACAATCTTGATATATAAGCCACGATTTCCTCAGCGTTTCGTCATAATCAGGTACCTTTGGGTTATTGGCTTTAGCAAAGCGCATGCTAGCCTGTACCAATCCACCGCGTATACCTATAATATAATTTATTTTTAGAACATTTAAAAGCTAATTTTTTTTTCTAATTTACATACTCTTTTCTATCGCTTCTTTCTCCGGGGATGCGTTGGTCTACGGACGAATGCATCACCGCGGCGGGTAAACGGACGGTCGGTCCCCCGCCGAGGCCCTCTTGGAGAATCAGCGGGGAAAGCAGACCCGTTGACCGCGGACGCTCTCGCCGCGGCCCGGAGACGCCGGTTTGCCCCGGTTCCCCGGCGGTGCGTTTCGTCTACGGACGAGGGCACCGCCGCAGCCGGCACGCGGACTGGTGGCGCCGGGTCGAGGCCTTCTCGGAGAATCGACGGGGAAAGCAGAGTTTGCCCGGTTCCCCCGGGGGTGCGTTCGTCTACGGACGAGTGTATCACCGCGGCCGGTACGCGAACGGGCGGCCCCTTGCTGAGGGCCTCCGGGATAATCAGCGGGGAAAGAAAACCCACTGAAATGGGTAATTTTGGGGCACCAAGTCGACACCGGCTGGGCGCTCGTCTATTACCCAGTCGCATCACAACCAATCGCTCGGGGGCCGGGCGATCCCGCGGCTTTGCAGCCACCCCCAGGGGACGGCTAGCTTGTCGCGCACTCGCCCGGGGACCGCCGGGTGAGGCGAATGTGTTGGGCGGCGCAACGCGCTTCGGACTCCGCGAGGGTTCGCTCTCTTACAAACGCCTCTTATCTTCGTAAAAACCCCCATATTATTATGGGGGTTATGTCACGGGGAAAAGACGACCGTCGACACGACGGAGCTAGCGCGCGAATGGCAGAGTTCCAAAGGCCCTCGGGCTCCCCGTTACGATCGCTCTCGGGCGTCGTCTCAGGCGCCGCTAATATGCTCCGACAAAGTCGCCGGTCGGATTAAATCCGGTTACCGGTGGCCCCGTACGTTGAATCTAATAATGAGACCTTCTGAGCGAGGGAACCCAAGTCGGACACGTTGAATCGCAAGCGCACGATTGAACGCATTATCCAAATCTAATGATATGCCGGGGTCTCTCTGAGCTACCCGCACTTGTTGCCAACGGCAGTCGGTGCGGACGGGCTTGAAGGCGCTCCCGGGTAACTGTACCCTCGGTCCAGGCCCAAGGACTGAGGGACTCGGCACAGCACTGTAAATAAGACCTGGCCCGCGCGGGGTGGACAGCCCAGTCCCCGCGGACCAGGAATATCCCGTCACCGTCCGGGATGGACCTGCCGCGGACAGAGCCCGGCCCGCGGGCCACCGGTCGAACGCATGCGAAATCATAAAATCTCGACGAGACTGCTTCTGTGGAGTACGGATTTTCTGTAACCGCAACGCGCTGAGGGCATGATGCCGACCGGAAGACTGGTATCGGGCCGGGAGACTGGCTCGCGGCAGTGCCGCGTGATTGGGGTCCGACCGTCCCCCCGTCTTGCCGAGAGTCTGCGGGTCTCGTGTTCTCGTAAATATGAAGTTTATTCGTTAAAGCCCCCGGAAATTGTCGAGGAGGGGTCAGATGGCGGCGATTTCCGCCGACCAACCGACAGTTTCGCATCGGGCGGCCTAATACCAATATTTTGCACACCGAACCGCTTTCGAGCGGCAAACGGTGGGCGGCGGCCCCAACTGCGGACGGCAGTGAGTGCCTTGAGCGCATAAAACAAGGTCCTGCGTGGTGGGCGAAATTGTAAAATCGCCCTCAAACGAGGAACGAAGGAGCTCGAGTTCGAAGGCGGTTATGAGATGAAGCCGATATCGTTCGAACGACTTTAGAACGGTACGGTAAGTTACTTGCAACCCGAGGCGAAAAGACCGAGTGGTCGCCCGAGAAAAGAGCTCTATTTGAAAGCATTAGTCCAAATTGGACCGCCGCAGTAACGTGCGGTGTCAGATACAATTTGTAAAACCGATAAGCCTTAAATACCACTTGGTAACTAGGCCGGCGAAACACATCGGCGGCCTCGCGTACGGTTACATCTAGCAGCGAGATGGGACCCCGCGGAGGCTGGCGGTCCGAATAGCGTCTAATCGTGGAAGCCAAAGTAACTGAATAAGCGAGGACGCCGTAAGCCGGGCCGCTGGGCTCCCCGGGGAACCATTGTTCGGCAAAAAGAGTCAAACCCGATGGTGAAGCCGGGTGGACTGGCGACCGTCTGCGAGGGGCAAAAGTAACGGCTGTCACCGTTCCACCAGGCCTCCCCGCAGGCGCTCGCCGGCCAACCGGAAAACCGAGATGGGGAGGGTGCGTAATTCTATGCACTCCATACCCCGATGCGGAAAGACGGTAACCGCAGAAGAAAAATCGCAATTATCGCGGCTAGGTACAAGCCGCGATTACCAGCCGAGTAACATACTTGTTACGATGCAAACTCTGTAATCAGCATAATATGCAAAAACCACACTGCGATTGGCCGGGTAGGACCGTCTGCGAAAGTCTTTATGAGGCCTTAAGTAGCCAAACCGCTGACCTGACAACGCAGCGGCATGGAATGTACCGGAAAATAAGCCCCTGACGGAGCATAACTCTGAAAGCTCCCAGTCTTCAGGACTGAGAATATCGGCTAAGCAATTCGGGGGAGGTAATTATGGGCTAAATAATTCTCGGCAAAGACACGGGACACTCGTTACACGTCCATACGTCAAGTCATGCACGAATATGCCCTTTACCCCCGAATTACACTGGCGCGGGGTAAGCGAAATTGGCGAAATACCAGAATTCCTAACCCCGAAATCAAAATGGGAGTAAGTGTGGGCGTCCGCATATATCCGTCCGCATATAACCCGGCCGGCGCACCCCGTTGGTAGGCGGGGTGGGGGGCGGGCGGAACATAGACACATCCGCCCGCCGCTGGATCAACTCTTGATCCCGTTACAACCTCGGCGCCTTCCGAAGGGCGTATCTGAGGGCCGTCCACCCGGTTAAAAGTGGACTCTGGGGTCTGGTTGAACCAGGTTTTAATAGACTACTCATGAGCTTAAATCAAGATAAGGTACACACCCCGACAGACTGCGGTCTGGAAGGTGGGGACTCGGATTTTGAGGCCTCGCCGCTTGATGAGTTCATGAGAACTCGGACGGAGCTGAGCGGCCCGTCGACTGAATGTCATCCTGGGTGGAACGCTGCCCCCGCTTCGGCAGAGGACACCGTGTCGCCCCCGGTAACCGACGACGGCTCAGGCCGTCTTACGTATTGGAAAAGGAAAAGACGAAGGAAAGCGGGGACCACTCGGACCCCGGACGAAATAGGTAGGAGAGAAGTTCGGACAGCAGAGTACGAAACTAGCCTCGGAGCACAAGCTCATAATGAGACAAGCTCTCGCCAAGGAACGGCAGTGTCGCACGGCAGAACGGCCGATACCGACTCCTGCAGACTTGAAATAACCGACGATGAGTCTCAGACGACAATTTAAGTCATACAAATCAATGCGAGAAGGTCACAGAGAGTGATGCACGAGATTGAAGGATTATTGTCGAGTAGAAGCATAGACGTCTGCCTAATACAAGAGCCAGCCGCCGACTGCAAAGGGATCTATCTGTTCGACAGACGTCCGTACAGGGTAGTAGCGAGCGGTCCCGGGTCTAAAGCCGCCATCGTATTCGCGAACCCCGCAGTCGGCATCCTGAGCTTGCAGCATCTCAGTACTCCCCATATTGCCGTAGCCGTGCTCACTGTTGGAAATCTCCGCTTAGTGCTGATATCAGCGTACTTTCAATTTTCGGAGCCAACACAGACGTGCGTTGACGCGCTCGAGTCCGTACTGGACTCGGTGAGTGGCAACGTATTAGTCTGCGCGGACGTGAACGCACGGTCTACGCTTTGGCACGACCGTCTCTCGGACGACCGCGGAGAGATTGTCGTGGACCTCATAGGTCGGAAAAACCTTAATGTCAACAACCTAGCGGGCAACGTGCCTACATTTAGAAATCGGGGGTCTGCGTGCTTGGACGTGACGCTCACGTCTCACGGCGTGAACGTGGTGGACTGGACCGCAGTCCACGATTAGACGTCAAGCGATCACGCGATCATAAGCTTCGACGTCACGCAGAACTGTGCGCGCCCGAATGACAGGACAGATCCTTTCGTAAAATACGACTGGAGCAAAACGAATTGGAATGAATTCCGTAAGTCCTTGCAGCTCAGAGTAAGCGCGTGGATGACGGATCTGGAAAGTCCGGATCTCGAGACCAGCGCTGCAGCACTCATGAGAGTGCTGACAGAAACCTGCGCTGAACGCATGGGCATAGTAAGAATCAAAAAGCGTAAACCACCTCCCTGGTGGAACCAGAGTCTGGATAGAGAACTAAGCAATCTCAGGCGCTGGAGGACTCGACTGAGGAACGCACGGAATGCGTTCGGCAAGCGTGTAATCCGGAACTCTTACGAGAAATTGAAGCAAAGGTTCAATATGAATTGCTTCAAAGCCAGGCGGGATTCCTGGCGCTCCTTTGTAACCGATATCGGAAACAGGGAACCGTGGGGACCCGTTTACACATGGCTAAAGACTGGTGGCCTACGGCCGTCTCAGAATCTTCCAGTGTCAATCCGCCGAGAGAACGGCTCTTTCACCGACTCTCTCGAAGAGACTGGGAAAAGACTTATTGAAATCCTGGTCCCGGGAGATACGTCCGACGGTGAGAGTCCCGAACAGACAGCCATCAGGGCGGTAACGGGTGTAAGAGTCGGGTCCTTCGACCCGGAGACGGGCGAGGACGAACCGCCCAATGCGTGCGATGTCGAGGAGGTAAAAAGGGCCATCTGGCGAATGGATCCAAAGAAGTCGCCGGGAGCCGACGGCATTACGGCAAAGATTCTCCGCCAGGCGTGGCCAGTTCTGGCCGAACACATAACGAACGTGTTCAACGTTTGTCTTCGGTCCAGAATGTTTCCAAACGCCTGGAAACTAGCCCGACTGGTGGTGATTCTTAAATCTACCGGTAAGGACCGAGCAGAGGCCAAGTCCTACCGACCGATAAGCCTACTCCCGGTGGTGTCCAAAGCGCTCGAACACGTAATCATAGACAGGATTCGAGCGGACACGGATCCGAGCATGTCAAAAAGACAGTTCGGGTTCACGAAAAACCTCTCGACAGTCGACGCGATGCACCACGCTCTGAATTGGACGAAAAGCAGGCAAGAAAAATACGTATTTGCAGTCTTCTTGGACATTTCGGGCGCCTTTGACTGTCTATGGTGGGCCCAGCTAGTTGTGGACATGCGAAGTGCTGGCTGTCGCAGCGGGCTGGTTGAGCTGACGAAAAGCTATCTGGACGGCCGCCGAGCTGTCATGCAGATCGGCGACCGAACAGTGGCAAAAACCCTTACCAAAGGGTGCCCGCAAGGGTCGGAGTATGGACCGGATCTCTGGAAACTAGCAGTGAACCCACTCCTGTCAGCTGACCCGCCCGCAGGTACTGAGATAATTGCGTATGCGGACGATCTTGCGCTACTTATCTCTGGCGAAAATCGGGCAGAGCTGGGAGTCGTGGAAACGAATTACTCAGCAGAGCATCGCTATGGGCGATCAAGCGAAAACTCTCCTTCTCCGCGACCAAGTCGCAGACCCTCTGGCTTAAGGGAAATCTATCCCGGCCAGACTTGGATCTCCGACTCGGCACTGTAAAGATAAAACCGACGGTCGGGGCTAAATACCTCGGCGTCACGTTCGGCGGTAAAAACTTCAGTGGCCATCTGACGGAAAAAGTGAAGGCCTCCGCGGCGCTATTCAGTCGACTGTGCGGCGTCGCAAAAACCAAGTGGGGTCTTAAGAGAGGTTTAGCGGCAAACCTGTATAAGACCGTATTCCTTCCGCAGATAAGCTATGCGGCCTCTGTGTGGGCTCAGAAGTGCATGACTGACGGGCACCACCGAGGGAGAGCAAACAGCGCTCAAAGAACCCCGCTTAGGGCTATTACAGGCGCGTATAAAACCACGTCGACGATGGCGCTGCAGGTTCTCGCCGGAGTACCCCCTCTCGAACTGGAACTATTACGGATAGCCAGAGTCGAGGGGGACAGGATCGCGGTCAGGAGAGGCGCGATGACGGCGCAAGAAGCCAAGGTTAGAAAGACGAGGCACAGTAACAATCTCCTCACCTCTGGCAGAGCAAGTGGGTCGCGAGCTCCAAGGGGAGGTGGACCGCGCGATGGTTCCCCGATGTCGGACGCCGGATGGATCGTGGGTGGTGCCGAATGGATCATTACACGTCCCAGCTGCTGTCCGGTCACGGGGATTTCAAAGCAAAACTCCACGGCTTTAACCTTGTTGGCGATGCAGCTTGCGCATGCGGTTTCCCCAGCGGAACTGCGGAGCATCTGCTAATGGATTGCCCACTTGCAGGTCAGGAAAGAAATAAACTCAAACTCGCAGTGCGAGCGGCCGGTGCGGACTGGCCGTGTGAGTTAGAGTTCATGACGAGCTCCGAAGTCATGTTCCGGGCGGTAAGTGAATTCGCTAAGAATACACTGGCGCGCTGATGCAGGGTTAGCTCGGTAGTCGTAATTGGTGATATAAGTAAAATTCCAATTCGGGGCCCTGTACCACGTACAGCGGCCGAGGGAAAGAGGGATAACCCTTCTAGTCCGCACGAGATACATAAACCCGAGTGAGAATTAATGGGGACGCAACGAGAATAAAAAGGTAGTAATCCATTAACCTTGCGACATACCGATGAATACGTTAAAATGGGAATGAAACGGAAGGATTGGGCAAAGCAACCGCGGGCGGGTACCTCATACATGACCCGTCCGCGGACCTCCGATCACACGCCGGTTCATTCTCACTGAAAACTCGATCGAGAGCCCGCATCCAGGAGATGCGAGCGAACTGGTGCTAGTAGTGGGCAGAAACCAGTCGTCTACTATCAGTCACCGTAAATCCGGGCAAATTACTCGGTGCGGGAACGGCCACCCGCGCAGTAAACCGTACCGCACAGAAAGGCGGATCGCGGCGGAAAATCCTGCGGATTCCCGCCTCGATATCGTGCTTGTGGGAAATAGGTCGTTGTGAGTACCTGGGATACGGAGCCCGAAATCTCATTCCTCGGGTACCGGAGAGAGCCCTGCTTGTAAAAACAGCACTCCGGTAGCTAGGGCACGCGCGTCCGGCAGCCGGGCGAGCGAGTGATTGTTCCCGCGCACGCGCGACTGCCGCGCGTCCGTGGCTTATGTGGATGGAACCGCGGAGGTTGTGGAAGTAGCGCTTTAGTAGAAGGGGGTTTGCTTGAGTAGATTAAAAACCTGCCGCCGCTGGCGCATTCGGCGATACCCATAATATGCCTTGAAGTAGACATGCTCCGGGCCGTCTGCCTGGCGCTCGGGCACCCAGACGCACCCCTTAGCGAGGGATGACGATTGCGCCGCTAAGGCGCGGACGAGTCGGGCGCGGTAAAGACGGCTAAAGGTTTGAGAGACCGCCGTGTACTGGCGTCGCTTACCCCCGTCACACAGCCGGTTAATCAATACCCTTTTCTATAAATAGTAGCATGTCATAGTCGGTTAGAAGTCCTAATTTTATAGATGTATACTTCAACATGGAATCGAAGCTGAAACCTGGGGCCGTATAATAAAATGCTGGATCTAAATTGTACGTTTTCATGCATAGATCGCGGAAATTTTCGAAAACGTCCGCGAGCAACAGCACATCCACTTTCAGGTACAAATCAGAATAGTCACCAAGCGTTTGGCACCCAAAGTATCTCCATACTACCATAGCATGATCATAATCCGTGTCATTTACGTCATCCTCCTTAAGCGTACTATAGAAATCTTCTTTTGATGGTAGATTAGGCTCGTCCAACTTATCCCAGCCATCCGTATACTCGTATAGGATATACACCCTTGCGGGTGACAAAAGGCATATCACCGGCATCGAAATATTTCGAAGTCTCTCGGAATTTCGAAAAATCTGGAGTCAAGAGGTTTTTTGCGAGACTCCTCAACTGTGACGGCATAAACCTACACGTGTCTACAAACCGTATGGTAAACGTCTTACTTATATATTAAGAAAATGATATAAATTTCTCTTCGCTATTTGCAACAACTCTAATACTGTTAGCGTCATACCCTAACTCAGTCACAATCAAATGAGCATCATAATTAGACAAATTATGAAAAAAACATGGGACGAATTTTGGTTGTTTTAGTTTTAAATTACAATGGGCGCATAATGATTGCCTGAATCTACCAGTCAGGTGACAATGATCGCGAACTTTTTCAATCGTGTCGAAACTCCGTTTGCAAAAATTACAATTTTTGTTATCACTATGTATTCGCGTATCATCCTCACTCATGACTATAGGGACAATGGTCTTTAATAATTCCTCAATTTTATGGCCTACCTCAACGATATTTTCAAGAAAATGTCTGGCAACATCCTCTTGAATACTACTACCGCGAAAAACTACCGGTGTGGTTGGTATATTAAATCGCTCTATGAGCTCTAACGGTACGTCTTCGGACGCCTTGACTAAAAACGAATAACTCATGGGCTTGTGGTCATGTATTAAAGTCGTATGATCCCACCTTTTGACATTAGTTTTTACTAGGAACGCTTCAAAATCGGCGTAAATAGTAAACGGATGTCGTTGAGCATTTTGCCAGTTTTCAAATTGAAGTGTTGCACCAACATCGGGCATTTTGGGTAGAATCGGCGGCTTATGTGCTCCACAAAATAATTTATGTTCCTCGAGTGCTGCCCGCCCGCTTAATTTGTATTTTAATGACTGATCGTCGAATGACGTGAAGCAACGTTTACAGAAATATTTCGAATGACCGTGTTTAGTTATTTGTGAGCGGATCAATCGTGAAAAATTCGATATATAGACATAGTGGCTCTTTTCACCTTCAGTGTATAAAATTAAGTCAAAATGGTCGGTTTTTTCATTGACTACAACTTTTAATGGAAAGAAGTGAGGAGTCGGATTTTGTGAAGATGGCTTAGATATTTTGTTACCGTAAATATTTATTGAGACTGAGCGTATAGGGGTAGATTTATTGTGCGCATACGTTAATAAAATACGTTGTTGTTGGCGATATACAAATATACTCCGCTGGGCGGTTCCTCCTATATTCAGCTGCCGGAATATATCGACGGGAAGCGAGGTACCATCAACCCACAAAATGTAGATCAACAGTGTTTTAAGTGGGCAATTTTAGTGAGACATGTTACGGGGCCGACAGCATTTCGTTTGGAGGGAGCTAGATATAGCCAGCATGAGAACAAATATAATTTTGAAGATATATCGTTCCCTACTCCACTGTCTGATATATCAACATTTGAAAAAAATAACAAAAATGTATCTATTAACGTGTACGGCCTTGACAAGAATTTTCAAGTACCGAAATTGCCATGGTATGAGGTCTACCCGCTACGTGTGGTCGACGTGGAAAAATCTAATCATTTTGACATGCTGTTGGTGACGGACGGCAGCAACTCACATTATGTTTATATTTCTAATTTTTCCCGGCTGGTACGTACACAAAAAACAGGACATAAGGAGAGAGTAGTATTCTGCAAGAGGTGTTTCACGTTATTCGATAACCGGAATTTGAAATTCAAGTTGAGCGGACAGGAGGCCCTGGACCAACACAAATTGATTTGTGGGGTGCACAAGCCAATTTTTCCGGAGATGCCAAAGGAGGGTGATTGTGTTGAGTTCAGGGCGTGGAAAAACACGGTGAGCACTTGTTTGTAATTTACGCGGATTTCGAGGCGATCTTGGCGAAGGCGGAGGAGGCGAGAAGGGATAGTACCACGATTACCCAAAAACACGAAGCGATGAGCTACGGTTTTTTGGTGAAGGCGAGCGAGGACGTGCCGGCGGATTTATTGGTTCAACACGAGATACCGGCGGGGTCGGTAATCTACAGAGGCAGCGAAGACAGGACGTTCGTGGCGAGACATTTCATGGAGTCGATTGTTGATGTGGCCCGGAAAATTGAAGGTCTGATGAAGACGAATATTCTTTTAATTATGACCGAGGGTGAAGAAAAAACACATCAAGAGTGTAATGCGTGTAACTTATGCAAATGCATATTAGTCGGGGGCGATAAGGTTAGGGAGCATGACCATATCACGGGCAAATTTAGGCAGACCTTGTGCTCCAGATGTAACCTGGAGTTGCAGCAACCTAAATTTGTCCCCGTATTTTTTCATAATCTCTCAAACTACGACTCGCACTTCATAATCACTGAACTTGGGTATGATACACAGGCGCTCAACGTTATACCGAACAGTGAGGAGAAATTTATATCTTTCTCGAAGTATATAAGTAGTACATTCACTGTTCGGTTTATCGACACGTTCAGGTTTATGGCGTCGAGTCTGTCGTCCCTGGCCGAAAATTTAGTTACACCTGAACATGAGAACTTCCGTGAGACAGCCAAACATTTTGTCGCCGGAGATATGCCGATCGTGACTCGTAAGGGGGTGTACCCATACGAGTACACAGATAGTTGGGAGCGGCTGGAAGACAGGAGACTACCGAGTAAGAGAGATTTTTTTAGTACGTTGACGGAGACCGGGATTAAGGACGAAGATTTTGAACACGCGAAGTTGGTCTGGGACCACTTTGATTGCAATACGTTGGGCGAATATAGCGACCTGTATCTCAAAATCGATGTG